CTCAAAACTTAAAATAAAAAACATGAAATTAAAAAATTAACATCAGTTTGCAAAGAATTTAAAATTTACAGTTAACACGTCAATGTCTCAAAAATTATAGAAACACCCTCAAAAGTTTAAATTACAGACAAGCACATTAAAATTCTAAAATTTTAAAACTTACAAACAACACAGATGAATTCAAGAGATTACCATGATACACCTAAAATTTTTGACATTTAAATTTAAATTTTTTAATTAACACCCTCAATATCTCAAAAATTATAGAAACACCTTCAAAAGTTCAAATTATAAAAAACCACCCTAAAATTCTAAAATTTGTAAATAAAATAAGATGAATTCAAGATATTACCCTTAGACACCTAAAAAATTAAAATTTGCCAAAATTAACCTCAAAATTTTTAAAAAACTCCTTCAAAATTTAAAAATCGTAAAAAAAACTCTAAATTTTCAAAATTTTTAACTAGCACACATCAAATTCGTCGATTGGTAGACCGCTGAAATTTAATATTTTTCAAAATTAATCTATAGTTTTAATAATTATAAAAGACACCCTCAAAATTTTAGAGTTACAAGAAATATACTAACATTTAAAAAATCACCACCAACACATGAAACATAAAATTTACAACTACCAAACTTAAAAGTAAAATTTTTTAAAAACTCTTTCAAAATTTTAAAAATTATAAATCACACCCTCAAAGTTCAAAACCACAAAAATGGGCTAAAATTTTAAAACTTGGCAAAGAAAAGTGTAATTGTTTGGTATTTTTCATATATATATATATATATTAAAATTTCTAATTTAGGGATTTACTATCCATTTTCAGCATCTAAGAATAGTCTAAGTTGATACTGGTAAACAAAAACAATAAGAATTGATTAAAAACATCCGGTTAATGGATAAAATTTTTAAAAATATTATAGATTAAAAATTATCGGCACTATATAAATTAAAGTAATTTCATATAATTTTAGTAATAAGTTGGGGTAGCCAAAATACATTCGTAACATTAATTGATAGATGTTTAAATCCATAGAAATGATAAAACACTATAATATTATACCTTAGCATTAATTGATTTTAATTTAGAAACTTTAATCTTTGACGTTAATAATATTTATAGGGTAAAAGAATACAAGAAATTACATATGGAGAAATTATTAGAATATTTAGAGATAACTTTAAAAGAATTGAGTTATTTCCATTGCAAATGGGAAAGTGATGGAAATAAAGCTAAAATTCAGAAAACGTCAATGAATCACTTGAATTGGCATTAACATAAGACATATCTATTAATGAAGCACTGAATGAGTTACATTAAAAAATAATTTAATAACTTTATCCTAATCAAAGAAAAAATCTCCATGGAAGACATAAGAAAAATTAGTAAGTATTCATAAATTTCATACTGTGTTCTGCAAATTAAATATTAATATTATAATCTAAGAGAAATTGGTAATGAATAATGCAGGTATTTAGTTTAGATCTTTATGAAAAATGTCAGGGATAGAGCAAAGGTAATATTATTGAAATAACAGAAATTATTATTGGATGCACATCAGAAGAATTCATTTTAGAGGAAAATAAAGAGATAGCTTCTAATTTATTTAAGTAATAAATTAGGAACACAAAGAATTTTATATATATGAAATTAATATTTATTCTCAGAAATAGAAAAAAAATCAAAGTCTTATATTTTGAGCAGTTTGTGTTGAACATCATAAGTACATTTGACTTCTTTGTAAAGTTAAATGAGATGATAAAAAATTAACGAGCCTAGGAAAGATAATAGCATAAAAAAATACAAAATTAACCTGATGTCACAATTGATGTAGATGATGAAGACAATACTCTAGAATTGTCCGAGAAATGATAAAAGATAAACCTGAAGAAGGATTGATCTTAACTCAATAAAAAATAAAATAGAAGAAATAAAACCAATATTTTATGAATATTTTATAGAATAGTTTAATTATTTTGAGTGAAATTAGGAATCTTTAGAAGGGAGTTTCATGAATTTTTTCAGTACTTTTATATTCTTATGTGGAATGTTTTTATCATATAAAAGTATACTAGAGTTAGCATTAATCTTTAATTTATATTTTTTTATGAAGTCTATCAATGATTAGGAATAAACTTCATATTCTCTTTTGCATCGTTTTAACATACTTTAAATCAATCATTTTTTCATATTGGTTTTAAATATTCACCTTCCTTGTATAATACTATTTTAATATTTTTCACTTTGTAATGCTATACTTTCTCAAATAAAGCTTAGTTTCATATCGGTCAAAAATAATATGAAAATTCAAATTATTTTTAAATTATATTTGTTTTTTATCAATTCAAATATCAACATGAAAATTTAAATTGGGTGTATCCCATTTAAACAAACATAAAAAAAATAATCGGGATGTAAGAGTTTAAAGAAAAAAATGAGCACAAATTGCCAAAAATACTTAATCATGGTATTAAATCACGTGCATTGCACGTGTGTAAAAACTAGTATGTATAAATCTTTAACTTTAATAACTGACTCTTGAGCTTAACAACTAATACTTAAATCTAATATCTAATTCTTAAGTTTAACAACTGATGGACAATATTAATAATTAATACTTAAATCTAACAACTAACTCTTAAGTTAATAGTCAGTCTTTTTTTTTTGAGAAAAAGGCTGGATTACCGAAATAGTAATCCAGCCAGCTAAAGTTAATTGTCAGTCTTTAAATTTGATAACTAACTCACAACATCAACAATCATACCATGCTACCTGATTCTTTAACTTCAAATGTTCAAGCAAAATACATTAGAATATTCTCTAATGTGGTTGTAATTAACTCTTAAGATTAGCTGTTTTGAAAATACTTTGATGTGGTTGTGATAACTTAGGTTAAAAATAGTTATTTTATGTTGTTTAAAGTTATAATATACATTTTCTCTGCTTTAAATGATGTAATTCTAACAGCTATATCATAAGTTTTGGAACTAACTCATAAGGTTAATAACTAACTCATGAGATTATAACAACGAACTTATAAAATTTATAACTAACTTATAAGTTTAACAACTAAGTCAGAAAATTGGCAGCTAATTCTTTCTCTTTAAATGTTCAACCAGAATACTTTAAAATATTCTACAAAATACAAAATATTTTTAATAAACAACAAAATATATCAGATTGGCTCGTTGGCAGTAGCTCAGACCAGAAAAATCTAAGAATGAGATAACTAAAAAAACCTACTTACCATCATTCATAACAATAAAAATTCACGACCCAAAGGATATGGGCAGTTTTCTACAGTTAAGGAATTCCATTTTTCAACTTCGAATGTTTAACAAAAATATCCCAACTCCTTCATTTTTTTTTGGGTAGAAACCAAATCCCTCGTCGGCATTTTATCAAACACTCTCCTGGCTGCAACAAGCACACTCAATCGAGCATGGCTCGCAAATCATGCAATTGTAAAGTGAAAATATTCTTCGTGGGTATTTTTGTTGGAGTTATAATAAGTGTAATTTAAAACTTGACATTGCAGTGGGAAAGTTTAGTCCCACATAGGAAATGGAATAAGAGGGAATAGTGTTTATAAGCCTTTTCCTTCTCTCCTATGCCTAGAAGTAAATAAAGTTTATGCTCCACATCACACGTGCGCGCGCCGGCCGGGTCGGGCCGGGCTCGGGGTCGGGTAGGGTGCACACGATCTGCGAACACGAATGTAGCTCCTATTTGAGGGGCTCTTAACCTGCTATATTTTGTTTTTGCTAATTGGAATAATTAAAACATAATTAATATGATGTAACCTGCTATATTTTGTTTTTGCTAATTGGAATAATTAAAACATAATTAATATGATGCAGATTAAAAACGTGATTAATAGAAATATTTTGTAACGAAAATGTGATAAATATTTTTCGGATTTATTTTGTAAACCTTCTATATTTTGTTTTTGCTAATTGGAATAACTAAAACATAATTAATATGATGCAGATTAAAAACGTGATTAATAGAAATATTTTGTAACGAAAATGTGATAAATATTTTTCGGATTTATTTTGTAACTGAAATATTTTGTAACAGGCTTAGACACATTCCCTTTATCAAGATGGGTCTCAAAGCATTTTTCTCTTGCAAAAAAAAGCAGCAAAATATACATTTGGTAAACTAGATCACATTTTTAGGATTGTTTTAAAGCCGGCGTTACTTTTTAAATCTTATTACTAACAAATACCACTTTTCATGACAAATTGATAATTTAGCCTTTTAAAATATGGGCACTGCTAACGACACCCTCACTCCATATCAGGAGGGAGGGAGCTTGTGTCCCGTAAACCCGACCTAACTAGGGGTGCTAAACTGTATCCGTATCCGATGAAATTACTGTAATCGTATCCGTTAGGATACGTATATGGTTACTCAAATCTATAACCGATAGGATATGGTTACGGATATGGTTTTGTAATGAAATATCCGTATCCGTATTCGAAATATCTGAATTCATATTAGTCATACTCTTACAATAGTTTCGATGCTTAGATTATGTATTTTTGATTAATTTTGATGATCAAGATGTCTAATCTTAACTTTTCAATTATAATGAACTTATTAACGAACTCTTTTGTATCACATGAACTATGTTTTTCTCCATACTATCTAGTTTTCTCATATCCGTTTTGTATCCGCATGCATATCCGCATATATATCTGTAACCGTATCCGATTTTAGCGGATATGGTTATGAATTTTTCTTACCGGGGTATATCCGTATCTGTATCCGAGATGGGTAAGCGGATATGGATATGATAAATGTCATATCCGAGCCGTATCCGGACCGAGTGCACCCCAGACCTAACCCATTTTGAGCCCTCCTCCTCTGCATGTATGATTTTTTATGGGGAAATGCAGCATGATTCAAGCCAAACGTGACTTTATGATGCCATCTCAGCACCACTTGCTATTCGTGGTCACATGGTGGTCAGATACAGCAAATAGTCTATCTACGAAAAAATATGTACGAAACCGAAGAACAATATCAAATATTTGATTCCTTTTGAATGAAAGCATCAAACTAATGTCCCCAAATTCCAAAACCCTAACACCCAACTCAAAAACCCTTTTAATTTAGATCCCAAATCTCTTCCCTCTTCTCATCTCCCCATTTATTGAATTTGGTGTTTTTAGAAGAAGAAGAAGAAGAACAATTATGGAGAAAGCATCAAAGAAGCTTATAAATCTTTTCTATTGCGATGAGTCGGAGGAGCTCGCACGAAAGATCGCTGAAGAATCCGACGCCATTAGACTCCAGTCGATATCTTGGAGGTATTTTTCTATTTTTATTTATTTATTTTTGCCTTATGTTTTGGTAAATGATGAATTTGATTGATAGATGAGTAGATGGGTGGATTTTTATACTGAAGTGTAGATTTTGATCCTGTTTTTACTGTAAAGTCTAGGTTTGATCTTGTGGGTGGAAAAAGATTGTTTTTTTTCTCCAGCTTATGTTTGGGATAGAAAATTATTATATATTCCATTAACTCCAAGGACTGTAGCTATTAGTTTCTATAACAATAACAATATGGATAAAGATAGAGATATATTATCATCATTGCATTACTATGTATACTCAATTTTGGAGTTGAAGGCTTGTTAAGATAACATACATGGAGCAAAGATAGATTTGTCGAAATTTTATGGGCTGTCATTCTTCCCTTATTGTTAGTGAGATATGTTTTAGCCCGATGCATATGTATCTCAGTTCACATAGGCCAAAATAATACTCATTCATCCTGAGATATAATTAAGTGAAATAGAAATTGTCAATAATCCATGTCTTACTTTTGCTGTCTGCACTCTATTGTTCTCTACATAACAAACACGATGGTGCTCTAGAAAATTCAGATTCCTTTGTGGCTGAGGTTTTTTCTGAGCATTATAGTTTGGAACAGTCCAATAAACTATTTAAGTGTGAATTTATGTGTATTTATGTCTCACATTAGTGTTTACAGGGATATTAAATTGTACAAGATTTTTCTGTCTTAGTCACTTGGATATGGTACAACATTTAGATGCCTGAGTCCTATGAATTGAACACTTCTTATATAATTAAGAGAAGAGAAATTTGTATATTATTGTATGTAAAGACTGTAAAAGTTTTAGAGAGTATATCTGGATGGATCTGCAGGGGAAGAATAAAAGACGAAGTGATATTACTTCAATGGCCTTGCAAACACATGCCATGTTAATTTTTTTTTCACACACAAGATGTTCCTTTTTTCTTCGAGTTAAGCTATTGTTTTATCATGTAACGAATCGAACTGATCCAACATTTTTTCATCAACAGAAGCTTTGCAGATGGATTTCCTAATCTTTTCATCAACAATGCTCATGACATAAGAGGACAGCATGTTGCCTTTCTAGCCTCTTTCAGCTCTCCTGCAGTCATATTTGAGCAGATATCAGTAATATTTGCATTGCCAAAGCTCTTCATAGCATCCTTCACATTGGTATTGCCATTTTTCCCAACTGGTTCTTTTGAGCGAATGGAAGAAGAAGGGGATGTTGCTACTGCATTTACTATGGCAAGGATATTGTCGATGGTGCCCAAATCTAGGGGTGGTCCAACTAGTTTAGTCATCTATGATATTCATGCTTTGCAGGTTGGTTTGCAATAGTAAGGCCATAAATTAATTTGGTCATCGTATACTTTCATTTCTTCAAATGGTTCAGTTGAGATAGTTGTTTTGGTCTCACCGAATGTGTTTAAGAACAGAAACTATGCAGATTTTGTTTGCTAATTGTATTTATTGCTGACTCATCAATTATGATATTGTCATCGTTTTTACAAGATGTGTAAATCTGTTGTTTTTAATGTTCTCATTTTAAAAAATGTTCTATGGAAACAGCAGATGCTGAAACTACATGATGGTTGATTAGAAAGAGTGATGAAACTGAGCAATTTTCATCCACTCCTTTTTGTTCCACATTTGGTTTGCTGAGCTTTACTCTTTAATATTGAACTTCTTTTGCAACCTTCTAAAAACAAGGTAGAGCTGATGACATTGGTGCTTGACATGCAAGTTACTACCAGCATTTGTCCTGACTCCTGATCTTACGATCTATCTTCGTGCTCCTTTAAAAACATATATTTCACTGTACTAGCACATGCTAATTTCAGAATCGATTTGCACTGCATCTAACATTGTTCTTCAGATGGTCAAGCCTTGAGGATAATTTTAATTCTTCAATATTTAATTATGGTGGTAATCCTGTCGTAACTACCGATAGATCCTAGTCAATTACTGTTCTGTGAAAATAATTTGGAGGCTTTGGGGTTTTTTTATTAAAAGAAGCTAGACAATGATAGAGGAAAAAGTGGATAAAGGGGACATGGTATTAACCTCGAATTCATGATTGGATCTCATAGTAGATATTGTGCTTTATAGCTTTTTGTTTGAGATAATATACTGGGGGCTTAGAGTATCTCTTCTTCTTTTCTTTTTTCTTTTTAATTGAAAGCCTGCGTCCTGCACTTAGACCTACCGCTCCCCACTAATCCAACCCCAATCCTTTTTACCTAAGCCAGGCCTCGACAACACATGCATGAATTTGTTAAACTAATATTTAAATATCCTTTTTTGAAAATCTTGTTTCTCACAATCCTGATAGTGTTTCTGTTTTTAATTTGGACAGGAAAGATTTTACTTTGGGGATGATGTCCTGCCTTGCTTTGAGACTGGGATTCCTTTGTTGTTGCAGCGTCTTCGTCAACTTCCTGATGCCAACAATGTGCGTATGCCCCTAAGTGTTTGTCTCCTCTAAAGACTGCAATTTACCTATAAATTTTAAAATCATACTCTGAATTTTGCTTCAGATAACTATAGCATTCCCGGATGATGGGGCTTGGAAGAGGTTTCACAAGCAGCTGCAACATTTTCCCATGGTTAGTTGTACATGTTACAAATATGTTATATAGTAAAAAACGGGTACGAGATGGCATCCCATTTTGCTAAATGAGCTACCAAGAGATAGGCTAGTGGTGGATCCACCTTGCTAGTCACATCAGAATATGTGGATCTCACCACTTCTATCTTTGCTAGCTCATTTTGCTAGATGAAATGGCAGCTCATATCCAATATCCTCATGTGCGTATCTTCTGTATGTGTGAATAGACAAAATTCTGGTAACTTTATTAATAATGTTTTGCACATATCCCAAATGGTAGGTGGTATGTGCTAAGGTGCGAGAAGGTGATAAGAGAATAGTGCGGCTGAAAGAAGGGAATCCTGAAGGTCAGCATGTTGTTATCGTTGATGATTTGGTGCAGTCTGGAGGCACTCTCATCGAGTGTCAGGTAAGACAAAATACCATTAAGGTGTAAATTTCTCGTTCAGAGTTAGGCTTTCTGCATAAGAGGATTTTGGCTGTTCCAGGCATGATTTAGACTTCTTTGTAGGTTTTGGTGAAAACTGAAAAGTTAGGCTAGTCTGCTGAAATAGAGATGGAGAAATATATGTTGCATGTTATAGTTCAGAAATTTTAATGAAAAATGGGGAACATCAGGAAAAGAGACTATCAAGCACAAGCAGTTGATGGTTCAAATCCGTATTATGTAGCTCATGGGAATTGAAAAAGATAATGATATTGACAAATTGTAAACAAGAAATTGTTAGGAACCAAACTTACTAATTTTCAATTCATGCGGATAGTGTAATCTAGTAAAATACTGCTACTACATTTGTTTTAACTTCAATCACTCAATTTATCTTATATCTATTGTAAGATCACGTGTCAGTCTGAAGTGAAGACAATATAAGATCATCACTGTCATCAGGATAATTGTGAAGCTTGTTTTAAATCTGATTGTTGGTTTAGTTGGTAAAGCCACAATCTGAAAATTGTTCTAGTGGTTTTTCTTTGCCTAAACCCCAAAACCAGGACATCACTTGCCTTTTCCCTTGCACATTCTTGATCAGTTGCTTGATGAACACTTTGGTCTTCATATTAGTCAAAATCTTGAGAACGTCAACCTAATATTTTAACTGGGAGAATGGTGCAGTTGTAATCATTGATAACCTTAAACTCAAGCTATCTCAAGGATTTCCCCCCCTCTTCTTGTTAGTGTGGCCATTTTCTACCTTTAGCTGATGACTCCTCCCTGTCCAAATTTCTTGTTACAACAACGTTCTAACCATTAAGAGTATAAACTTGTCACCCCTCAACTCTCAGCACAAGTTAACTTCAATTTACGTGCAGAAGAGGCTTTGAGATGGTCTAAGAGTAACTGGGTTTAAATTCTATCGAACATGTATTTAAAGTGGGTTATTAAAAATATGTATTATTGATTATAATATCCCAAGTTTTAACCTATGAAAACGGCGCTCAAACTACGATGGCATGTTATAATAATAAAATTATAATCCTCACTAAAACTTTGAAGTTTGGTGCAGTAGAATGAACTCTAAGACTAACAATCGATCCCATATTTTCAGAAAGTTTTGGCTGCTCACGGTGCTTCCAAAGTGAGCGCCTATGTGACCCATGGCGTGTTTCCCAAAAATTCTTGGGAGCGATTCACGAATACAAATAATGGTAAGAACTTGGCTTTCATTCTTGTTTTTATTTAACCTCGACTGTAGGTTCTAACCATAGTTTGTTTGCTAATATGTAGGCTCAGAGTGCCCATTTGCAAACTTTTGGATCACAGATTCATGTCCTCTGACTGTGAAGGCCATTGCCAATAAAGCTCCTTTTGAGGTGTTGAGCCTTGCTGGCTCTATTGCAGATGCCCTTCAAATCTAGGATATCACTTGACTATCTTTACTTGTCATTAGGAGAGTTTAGAGGGAAATGTAATGTAAGGACGGAAAAAAAAAAGGAAAAACCACTTGTTGATGAATATAAAAATTTTCGTGGTCTTTTGCAGTTGCTCTTGTGGAATTTGAACAATGATGTAGTTATCAGCAATGCTGAATTTATTCGCTTGTGATGTATAAGATTGTCACCGCTCAGGGTATGCAAGGGCAAATAAGAAGTTATCTTGTGTCGTGTTATTTTCGCGTTATGTGTACCATTTAGCTGTGTATATGCATTTTAATTAATTTTTTTCCCCTACCTACCAACAGCTTATGAAGTAATTCAAATGTGTAACTTTTCGCGCCAAAAAAAAAAAGTTTAAAATGTTTTCACCATTGAAGTAGTATGATAGTTTTAAGATAATCTATCAAACATAAAAAATTTACAAGGGAAATAAATGAGATAATCTGTTTAATTTGCCATTATGAAAGATAATCCCTTTAGAGGGATTAAACTAAGTTCACCCTTTAAATTTATGGATTAGTCTACCTCTTTATATAGGTTAAGAGATAGTCTTTCTTTTTACAAAGAAAAGAGTACTAGTCCTCCTTATTTTCAAACACTAACAACTAGTATGATCAATACAAAATTATTATTTCTTTAAGGGTAACATACCAATTTAGCCTTAAAAGTGACACCTCTCTAGTTTGGCCTAAAAGTAACGTTAGTGACATTAGCTTAAGAAGTGAAATATTAAATAATTTTGAGTGTCGGGAATACTTTTTAAATATTAAGTGATTTTTACATGTAGACCATTCAATCTCTCATTTTTCAGACCAATAGCATTCCTCTCTCTCTCGCTCCCTCTCCCTTCTCGCTTTGCCCACTTTCTCTTCACCATCCATTCATATAATTTAAAAAGAAAAATTCAGCATCATATTCCTCTCTAAAAACCTAACATCAAGCATTCTATAAAAAATCCAACCTCCTCCTCCTCTTCATCTCTTACTCTCTCTTTTCTTGCTCTACCCACTCCCTCTTCACCCTCGAATTGTTAAAAGCTCTATCTCCTTCTCCTCTTCCTTTCTCAAACCCAACATCAAACATTTTATATGAAGTATTGTTTTTTTTAGGGGGGAGGGGATGAAGAGGAGGAGAAAGAGGGCAAAAAAGAGAAAAAGAAGCTAGAAAAGTTAAGAAGAGGTGGGCTTGGAGAAAGAGGGAAATGAGGAAATAATAGGAAGAATACGGGAAAGAAGGGAAAAAAGGGAGAGAGCAGGGGAGGTTGAAGATTAGTTAGGATGAAAAAAGAATGAAGATTGAGGGCTCTATATGCAAAAAAATACTCAATATTTCGCTTAGTAATTATCTTCGGCATCGAAAATATCACTGTCTTCGTATTTGTTATTTTTAGGCTAAATTATCACCGGCGTCACTGTTTTTTTTGAGAGAAAGGATGGACTACTGTTAATCATAACAGTAGTCCAGCCAGCTAAATTAACCAAAAAATTGGCTGATACAAGAAGATACACATTCCCAACCAATAAGAATGTGTACTTGAGTTCAAACAAAAATTACAAACCAAAAGAAAAACTCTTGTTCCCCCACAAAAAGAAGCCAAACCATGCTCCAGCTCTGCCACTACAGAGTAACCCATCTCCAGCATGAATAAAAAAGCTGTCAACTACTACTACTACCAGATAGTAGACTATCTTAACTAAGAACAAAATTTTAACCAACTGAAAACAAAACAAGTTTATAGAACTGAAAGCAGAAATCATTCCAGCTGAATCACAGTGTTCACAAGTATTCCAGCTGTAGATTGCCCAACAGCAGGTTTCTTCTTTCTCCTCTCCTGAAGTCTGACAGTTCGAGCTAATAAATGCTTAGAACCTAACCAAAATGATGAAAAGATCAGAACTTTGTTCAAAACCTCCAGAGCTCTCTTCTTCTTGTTTGAGAAAATTCTATCATTTCGCTCCTGCCAAATACACCAAATAAGAGAACATAGAGTAACATCTCTTTCCTCATTCCATTTAGCTCCCTTATCCATACTGCAATTGATCCAAATATCTTTTAAAGAATTCAACTTAAAACTCTTATCAATATTCAATTTATATTGAATAGATCACCATGTAGAATATACAAACTCATGGTCCACAAATAAATGGAAGTGATTTTCCTCCTCTTTTGAACATAGACAACACATTAAATCCAAGTGAATACCCTTATTTTCTAGCTTATCTTTTGTATTTAGCCCCTGTCTTAAAGCCAGCCATACAAGAAATTTTACTTTTAAGGGAACAGGAATTTTCCAGAGATTTAAACAATCAAATCTTAAACCCCCATCAATAAGAAAATGATAGTAGGATTTAACTGTAAATTTAGCCCCTCATTCCATTTTCTCCTGTCCTCCCTTTGATCAAAATTAAAATCACTAATATCATTCATCAATTTGAGATATTTCCATTTTCTCCTGTCCTCCCTTTGATCAAAATTAAAATCACTAATATCATTCATCAATTTGAGATATTGGAGAACATAATTCCCAGTCAGTTGTCTACTAAACTGAATATTCCAAATCCATTCATTATTAACCTTTTTTCTCACACTACTAATGGGTGCAAAAGGAAAAGAAGTGATATTAAAAAGAGAGGGATAAATCGCAGCCAAGGTATAGGAACCTACCCATTTATCCAGCCAAAATAAAGTTTGATCACCTTTTCCCACATCCACAAGAGTGCTGCATAAAAAGCTACCAATATTATCAAAACAATTCCTCCAAAATTGAGTTAACATGAATCTACCAGAATGAAAAAATTCTGTCCAACTTTTCCTCTCAAAGTATTTGCAAAAACTGATTTGTTTCCATATTTCCAATTTATTATCAAACCATTTCCACCACCATTTTCCCAATAAAGCTTTATTCATGGTTTTTAAATTTACAATCCCCAAACCCCCAAACCCCCAAACTGCTTAGGTCTGCAAACCTCCTCCCAATTGACCAAATTAGAGGAGCCTTTATGGTTAAGAGAACCAGTCCACAAAAACCTTCTCATCATCTTGTCAATTTTTTCTATGAGCCACTTAGGAAATAAAAAGAAAGAAAGCCAAAAAATTGGCATAGAAGAAAGAACAGAATTCACCAAAACTAATCTCCCTCCTCTTGATAAAGTTTTTCCTTTCCATAAGACTAGCCTTCTTTCAAATTTCTCAACCAAAGGAGACCAGTCTGCTTTTTTTTAACTTTTCAGGCCTCAAAGGAACTCCAAGATAAGTGATGGGAAAATTCCCACTTTTACAATTCAACATAACAGCCAAGTTCTGTTGCAAAGAATCATTATCCTCAAGGGCAATGAGTATACTCTTGTTAAAACTTATTTTAAGACCAGAAGCAAGTTCAAAACAATATAGTATCAATTTTAGCACTGTCAACTGCTCTTTTTTATTTTTGCAAAAGATCAATGTGTCATCTGCATATTGTAAGCAACAGATTTTATGAGGCATATTAATCGGACCTAAACCTTCAATAAGAAGAGAATCTACAGCTAAACTCATCATCCTAGTAAAGGAATCAGCTGCCAAAACAAATAAAAGAGGAGATAGAGGATCTCCCTGACGAACCCCTCTCTTAGACATAATCCAGCTCCGAATTTTACCATTTATATCAATGGCAAACATACCCCCACTTAAACACATTTTAATCCAATTTAGCCACTTAGCTCCAAAATTTTTGGCTCTCATAACTTCCAAGATAAAATCTCAGTCTAACATATCATATGCCTTAACAAAGTCCAACTTCAATAAAATCCCTCCTTTTCTACCATTCTGAAAAGAGTCATTAATAATTTCCTGAGCTGCTAACACCTCATCCATCAAAAATCTGTTTTTAATAAAACCAGATTGGACAGGATCAATAAGCTTTTCAAGCTTAGGATTCAACCTATTAGTCAAGACTTTAGTAATCAATTTGTAAATCACATTTAAAAGACTGATAGGTCTGTAGTCATTAACCATGGAAGCTTCATTTTTCTTTGGAATAAGCACAATATGCTGTAGTCATTAACCATGGAAGCTTCATTTTTCTTTGGAATAAGCACAATATGAGCATAATTGAGCCTGGTTATTTCCAATTTACCTTCATAAAACTCCACAAACAGCTTCATAACATCACTTTTCACTGTTTAGTCTAAATTGATAAAGGGGTGTCACTTTTAAAGCTAAATCGGTATTTTAGCCTTGTTTCTTTACAAGATTTGGAATTTTGTGAATTTATATGTAGTAAAATTAGTTTAGGGCAAATATCTGCATGTCATCTATTCCTTTATACAAATAGGAGGATCAGAGATTCACTGTTCATGGTACAGTAAATGCTACAGTAGCATTTACTGTACCATGATTACTGTAGCTAATAAGTAATTAAAAATATTACTGTAGCACACGGGTATACTGTAACATTTAAAAGGTACTATAGCAGAGCGGGATACTGTAGCGCTTCCAAAAATTCAAATCACGCATATTAAAAAAGCGGGATTACTGTAGAAAAAAAAAATACCGTGCTTTGCACGGACCGCAAACTAGTGGTAATTTATGACAGTTCGGTGAAATTTACCCAAAAACTAAGGACAAATTTTCAAAACCAACCCTTTTAGACATTTAATTGCAAAAACCGACCCATTTTCATAATAATTGCAAAAACCGACCTGTTTTCAGCCCAGCGCTGAAAACAGGTCGGTTTTTGTAAAAAATTCTCCGAAACATCACGGGAGTTCAACTCCCATGAAGTTTATGGAGAAATTAAACTTCACGGGAGTTCAACTCTCGTGAAGCTTAATTTTTGCTTAAAACTCCACGGGAGTTCATCTCCCGTGGAGTTGCAGTCAACAAATCCAGAGAATCGATCTCTGGAAATTGTGACTGCAGCTTCACGGGAGTTCAACTCCCGTGAAATTGCAGTGCCAATTTTCCAGAGATCGAGTCTCTGGAAAATTGGCACTGCAACTCCATGGGAGTTGAACTCCCGTGGAGTTTGCTGCCACCTATTTAAGCGCGCGTGACCCCCCCGACCCCAGCCCACAAACCCTAACATTTCAACTTCGTTCCCAAACGCCGCTTCCCAGTTCCGTCGCCACCCCAGCCTCCAACCGCCGCCGCCCCAGCCTCCGACCCCCGCCAGTGCCCCAGATCCCGACCGCCGCCGCCGCCGCCGTCTCCGACCGCCGCCTCCCTTCAGATCTTAGTCAGATTTTCAAAAAAAAAGGTAAATTCTTTCTAAAAAAGCTATACCCTCTAATTTTTGTATTCTCCCACTATTTGATTGTGATTACATGTAGAAATCTAGATTTTAGAATTTAATTGTGAATTGTTTACGAATTTTGTGAAGAAATGTGAAAATTAGATTGGAAATTATCAATAAATGTGAAAATTAAAGGGAAAATTATCAATAAATGTGAAAATTAGAAGGAAAATTATCAATAATTTTGTGATATTTGTGAAGAATTAGTGTGTAAATTATCAATAATTTTGTCAAATTAGAGAAAAAATTATCAATAATTTCGAAAATTATTGTATTTAGAGTTTAGAATTTAATTGTGAATTATTTAGATTTTGTGAAGAAAAATTAGATTTTAGATTTTTGCATATGTATGATATAAATTAGATTTTAGAATTTAATTGTGAATTATTTACGAATTTTGTGAAGACGTATTAAATAATTTTGCGTATTTAGAGGTGAAATTATCAATTAATGTGGAAATTAGAGTTACTACCTAAATGTAAAAATTAGTAACAATCAATATTTATTTGGCTTTTCGTGTAATATTGATATTGAATTTTTCACTCTTCAGAGGTAACGATGAATGATCGAATTGTAATTCTCTGTTCTTATGATGGGAAGATTAATTACCTCGAGAATAATATGCCCGTTTATGAAGGAGGCACGACGAGACCGTTGTTCATAACAAAATCGTGTACTTTCGATGATTTGGTTAATGAATTACACAAACTTACATTAACTAACTCACGTGAGTATCACCTCAGTGTGGTTTGCAATTATCCTGTTGTGGAGAACAGAACAAGTGGCATTCAAATATCAAGTGACTACGATATGGGTCTCATTCATGTCTTACACGACGAGAAGCGTTCGGTCGAATTGTTCATTGAAAAACATCAGAGAGATTTGGGCAAATCGTTGAACTACGAAGGAATGTATTCCCGCATGTTGGAGGATCCTGAAGTTGATTCTGTAGGCTTTTTATCTCCTCAACAAGATGAATGTTGGACACAATCACAATACATGAGCGGTCCTTCGTTCGTGGGCACTTCGAATGCTTTCGATACTAACACGGGAATTCAAGAAGATAATGCAAGTGTTGAATCCGAGAATGATGATGAAGAGGAGGGATTACAAATTAATAGCATGACCTTGATAGATCGTGATGACGGGGAAAACCAACACATCGACGGGGCTTATGTTAATAATGAGTATGTCGGCTTAGAGGATCCGCCGCCCGATGAACTTCAAGGAGATGAATGGATTGATAACTCCGCGATGGAAAGTGTTCCTATTGGCACTAATAGCGGTGTTGATACACAGGCCGAGGACTTCTCATTCATCAAGGGAGATCTTTACGAGAGTAAGGATAAATTGATCCATGCTATTCGCACGTATTCCATTGCAAAAAATGTGAAGTTCAGGCCAACCAAAAATAATACTACAAGCTATAATGTGGTTTGTTTCTATCGCAAAGATGACGATGTCGAAGATAATAGTGTGAAGTTCAGGCCTACCAAAAATAATACTACAAGCTATAATGTGGTTTGTTTCTATCGCAAAGATGACGATGTCGAAGATAATAGTGGACACCACGACGGCAATGCGAGGTGTCCGTGGAAGCTTAATTCACGCTCGGGTTCAAGAGTAGGTGGGCAATTCAAAATCACGGCATACAATGGACTCCACACTTGTAGCAATCCTCGATTAGAGATGAATAACAAGAATGCGTCCTCTTCTTTTATATATCGATTGATTTTACCGCATCTGAGGGAGGATCTTGATCTAAGGCCGAAAGATATCCGTCTTTTAGTGCATAAAGCCACCAACTTGGATGTATCATATCACAAGTGTTGGAATGCTAGGAGGAAGGCGATGATAAAAATATTCGGGGATTGGGATAAATCGTATGAGATCTTACCTCATTATCTTGAAGCACTCAAAAGAGAAAATCCGGGGACTGTCTACGAAGTATCTTCGGACCACGTTGATGGCGGAGAACGGCGGTTCACCGGTGTATTTTGGGCATTTGGGCCCTGTATTGAGGGGTTTCAATATTGCCGTCCTCTTCTTAGCATTGATGGAACTCACTTATATGGTAAATACCCCGTAGAGATGCATGTACCGGACCGTGTGCTACGGCAGTTTACACTCTCTCAGCATATTCCAGATCCTGTCGAGCAGATCAATCGTCGGCGGCGCCCTACATCGCACCGGACTGACTGGGCCGTAGTCCGTGCGGCCTACATAGATAGGTGGGTTCAGAGGTGGGATTGCATACAGGATACGAGGCCCACAGCTGTTGACTATACCACGTATATGCGTTGGTATTGGGGTATCACACGTAGATGGATCACGCGTGACCCACAGCCTTTAGCTGGACACATGCCACGCCCACCGACAGATAGTTACATCCCTAGTGGGATGAACGAGAGAGATTACGTAAGTTTCTAAGCTAAATTATAATATTTTTTATTGAGTTGATACTTAATAAATTGTTTACCACGCAGGTCCGTGTTTTAGATAGCATTGATGCTGATATTGATGCGCACGTGACTGAGATTCAGGATCAGGTGGCGTTAGGTCTCCTCAGCAGGATCAAGAAGAGCATAGCGCAGGTGTTCCATAAGACTCACGTCGACGAGTTCGCAGGCCGTGAGGACAGGTCTCGCTCATTTGGACGGGCGTACGCTCGACGTCGACGGCCGCGTGATGATGACGCCGGCACTTCGCATGCCGATGGAGCCGGCACTTCGCATGCCGAT